GAGTGTGCAGGTCCTTGCCATAGAATAAAAAGACTGTACAGATGGGACCGTCCAAGGTTTTAATCAAAGAAGGTGGTGTCCAGTTGCTGCTCACAGTAGTTGATACCCCAGGATTTGGAGATGCAGTCGATAATAGTAATTGCTGGCAGCTTGTTATTCATAGTAAATTTGAGGACTGCCTAGGTGCAGAACAGACGTCAGATGCGTGATAACAGGGCGCAGTGTTGTTTATAATAAATTATTCCTTCAGGACGTGGACTTAAGCCATTGGAGAGTGAGTTTACGAAGTGTTTGCATGAAAAGGTGAATGTCATCCACTTATTGCCAGAGCAAACGCACTCACTCCAGAGGAGCGCCAACAGATTAAAAACGGACAATGAAAGAAATCCAAGAACATCAAATTAAGATATGTGAACTTCCAGAAACAGATGATGAAGAAGAAAAGCTTGTTAAAAACATAAAGGACCGTTTACCTCTTGCTGTGGACAGTCCTAATACTGTCATTGAAGTTAATGGTAAGCCAGTCAGAGGAAGGACGTATCCTTGGGGTGTTGCTGAGGTTGAAAATGGTGAGCGTTGTGATTTTACAATTCTAAGAAATATTTGATAATGCACTTGCAGGGCTTGAAAGATGTCACTAATAAGGCGCACTGTGAGAACCATAGAAGCAGAAAACTGGCAGATGTGAAGTGACTGACAATGGAGTTGATACCAGGAACCAAGGGCAGCTTACTAAGAGCCCTCGGGCACAAATGGAAGATGAAGGGAGCAGGTGGCTCAGATGAAGGAGACGGAGACGGAGATGGAGCAGGTGTTTGAGATGAAGGCCAGAGAAAACGTTCAAAAACTGAAGGACTCTGAAGCTGAGTGCCAACAGCACCATGAGCAAATGAAAAAGAATTTGGAAGCACAAAGAATTAGAGGGAAAATGTCATCAGTTTGAAGATAAGAAAGCAAACTTGGAAGCTCAACAATGGGTTGTATTTTATTTTATTTTTTTGTGAGGAAGATTAGCCCTGAGCTAACATCTGCCAATCCTCCTCTTTTTTTTTTTTTATAATTTTATTTATTTATTTATTTTTTCCCCCAAAGCCCCAGTAGATAGTTGTATGTCATAGCTGCACATCCTTCTAGTTGCTGCATGTGGGATGTGGCCTCAGCATGGCCGGAGAAGTGGTACGTCGGTGCGCGCCCGGGATCCAAACCCGGGCCGCCAGCAGCGGAGCGCGCGCACTTAACTGCTAAGCCACGGGGCTGGCCCCAAATCCTTTTTTTTTTTTTTTGTGAGGGAGATTAGCCCTGAGCTAACATCCGATGCCGATCCTCCTCTTGCCAATCCTCTTTTTGCTGAGGAAGACTGGCCCTGAGCTAACATCTGTGCCCATGTTCCTCTACTTTATGTGGGATGCTGCCACAGCATGGCTTGACAAGCAGTTTGTTGGTGCGCACCCAGGATCCGAACCCCAGGCCGCCGCAGCGGAGCGCACACACATAACCGCTACACCACCGGGCTGGCCCCTCAACAATGGATTTTAGAACAACTGAACTCTCTGAGAACCTTGGAAAAGAACAAGAAGAAAAGGAAGATCTTTTAAGCCCTCTATTGACCATCAATTACAAAAAGTCTGTGATCCACTTCTAATTAATTTTTATGTATGGTGTGAGGTAGGGGTTAAAGTTCATTTTCTCCCATATGGATATCATTGTTCCGGTACCATTTGTTGAAAAGACTGTCTTTTTCCCATTGAATGATATCGGTACCTTTGTTGGAACCTTTGTTGAAAATCAGTTGACCATATGTGCGGGTCTAATTCTAGACTCTGTATTCTGTTCCCTTGAGCTGTATGTCTGTGTTCGAGCCAATGCCATACTGACTTGATGACTGAGCTTTATAGAAAGTCTTAAGTCAGGTGATGTAAGTCTTCCCACTTCGTTCTTTTTCAAAATTGTTTTGACTATTCTAGGTCTTTTGCTTTTCTGTATAAATTTTAGAATCAGCTTGACAATTTCTACAAAAAAGCCTGCTGGGATTTTGGTTGAGATTGCATTGAACCTGTAGATCAGTTTGGGGAGAATGGACATCTTAACAACTGAGTGTGCTAGTCCACAAACGTGGTATCTCTCTCCATTTATTTAGATCTAATTTACTTTCATGGATAGGAAGATTCACTATTCATTATCATTTTTAATGGCTACGTGGTACAACAGTGTATGATTGTGTCATTTATCCCATTGCCTGTTGTTCACTTAGATTACATCCAGTTTCCCCTGTTATGGACAGTGCTACAGTGGATATCTTTGTTCTGTCTTTGCACACACCCTTGATTACTCACTTAGACAAAAATCTGGAGCCAAGTTAACACTCTTGATTGTGCTTTGCTGTTTGCCTTGTTTAAAGTGGTGGTGATTTGTGTGTGGTGTGGAATGATCCGGGCTTGCTTTCAGTGATGCCCAACAGCAGTGATTTAGAACCGGGCTCAGCACGTCATGGCAGCAGGCCAGGTCATATTGTAGGGCCCTTGAGCTAAAATGTTTTAAAAAATATTTTTAATAGATTGTAAAAAAAAAAAAAAAAAGAAACAAAAAAGAATATGTGATAAAGATCTTTGTGGCCCTCAAAGCCTGAAGTATTTACCACCTGGTCCTTTATAGAAAAGGTTTGCTGCCCCTGATTTGGAGCAAGGATCTGCGCCAGGCAGATCTGATCAGGTCCCCACCATACTTACTAGCGAGGATAGCCCTTGACCAGGTTCCTTAGTTACTTAATCTCCAGTTCTGATTCTTCATCTGGAAAACGGGCAGTGAGCGTACAGAGAGGGTTGTTAGCCACAGGGCTTTTTTTTTTTTTTCCTGTCTGAAGTTGCAGGAACTTAAATAGGCTGATGCACGTGTGAATCAGGAGTGGGCCTATCACGATCATCCATGTCCTGGGAATCAAGCTTATGACCTGGCTCCGCCCTCTACCTGGAGAGATGGGGCACATACCAAAGACACTAAAAAACCCCTGTGTACTGCAGCTTAACGTAATGTGGGGCCAGTGCCGACCCAGTGCACTTGGCCTCAGTGGAGACAATGAAAAAAACTAAAAATCTGGCTTCAAGTGAGGAAGCTTGGAATTTAGAACCCTGAACCCCATCATTGTCGTGTGACCATTTTAAATGTTAGCTTCTAACTGCCTCTCTCTCTGTGAACTGCCCACATCTGGGAGACTATGGCCCACCGAGGAAGGGGGCCAGTGGCGACACGTGGATGAGCCTGGTTGTGCCTATAGCCTGGGGTTGCTCAAGACTTGGGGGCCGGGGGTTCTGAGCAGCACAGGGTCCTTGGGAGGCTCAGAGGATGATCTGAGAGTCCCAGTGGCACGCGTGAAAGGGGCCGAGCCTTCTGTCCAGAGTTAAGGGGCTGTGGCAGCCAGAGGGAGCAATAGTTGGAGAGGCCCCTTAGCTGTCTCCTGCAGACTCTGGAAGGTCTCTCAGGGATCACAAAGGTAATGCCCAGCAGCGACTAGTGAAGGGTCCCACACCCTCCGGGAGGGGCTGGCCCTGTTTGCCAGCTCTGCCTGAGCTTTCTTTAGCTGTCCTGGGAATGATGTGTTTTTATCATCCCTGTAGGTGGACTGGGGAGTGTGTCCAGCCTGTGGGTACCCCAAATGTCCAGAAACTTACTTGTCCCTCCCAGGAGGAATTTGGGGCTATTTTTAGCCTCTGGTTGATGCTAAGATTGATTTTAAAATAACGGAACTGCATGAAGTGTGTTGGTTTGTCCCCCAGGTGCCTGGAGAGGCCTGCACTCACCGCAGCCCACCATCGTCGGCTGTCAGCGGAGAATGTTGGCTGCTTCCTGGGGGTGTCGCTTTACACAGAGGTAGGCCCACAGCCTCCCCTGCTCAGGTGTAGCTCTTAAGCACGGACTGAGGAGGAAGTATAGATTTTTCTTTTTAGGTGAAATAATGGAATTATGGTTATAATTGGTTTTTTTCTTTTTTCAAGTCCTTATCTTTTAGAAAAACGTATGATGTGATATCTGGGACTTGCTGCAAAAGAGGACGTGGGAGGTTGAGATGAAGCGGGGTTGGCCGTGGAGTTGTTGAGGCTGCGTTCTGCACGTGTCTGCATCTTCCATAAGTTGAGAAGAGTCTGACCAACTTGCATTCAGCTCCAGCTGTAGCACTCCTGTCTGTAAGACCTGATACAAGAGGGAGCCCCTGTTTCCGAATCTGTGAAATGGGGCTAATCACAGCTGCCTCAAAGATGCTGGGGAGTTTTTAGTGAAATAATGCATGGAAAGCACTTAGTCTGGTGCTTGGCACCTAATCAGCACTCATACCTCCTGTTCTGGCTGGGAGTCTGGCCAGTCGACCCCTGGCTGGCCATTTGGGGTGGGGAGGGGGCTTTGGGGAGGGGCGGGGCCCACCTCCCTCCGGTGGACACACAGCCTGGCCTTTGCTTAGACCACTCTTGGCTCCACTTACATCTTTGGTTGGTTTGGACCTTTCTTGGCAACAGTTTGGAGCTAGAATCAAAAGTCAGATTCCTGGGTATCATTTCTGCCAAAATATTGGGTGGCTGAAGCATTTGTTGAGTTATGTATTTTTAAACATTTTCTTTTGAAATAATTATAATTCACAGGAAGTTGCCAAATATGTACCGTGAGCTCCCACGTACCCTTCACCAGTTTCCCCTGGTGCTACCACACCTCTGCGATAGCAGTAGCACAGTTTCACAACCAGTAAAGTGACGTGGGTACGGAGCTTCCACACATGTTACCAGTCTTGCACGCACCTGTTTGTGGGTCCTCTGGGCAACCCATCAGGGGAGGAGTTGTCTTCATCCTCACTTCTCAGACAAGCAGAGAGAGGCTCAGAGAAATTATGGAGCTTCCCCGGCTGACGTATGGCAGAGCCAGGACTCGGGACTGAAGTCGTGTACTTAACCGCTGACCCCGCCTTGCCTCCCTCCAGAGTGGCTGCCGGTAAGCCAGGATCCTTGTGTTTTTTGCAGGTGAGCCCAGGCCAGGATGGGGGACTCCAGGGACCTTTGCCCTCACCTTGACTCGATAGGGGAGGTCACCAAAGAGGACTTGCTGCTCAAATCTAAGGTAAAGCGTCAGACCTTACGGGGCCAAGGCCCACACCCAGGGCCACTGCGTCCCTGGGGTACAAACGGCTCTGAAGCGGTGGAAGAACCGGCTCCCCACAGTCACTGCTGAGCCTTTTGTGTAAATGGAAAAGCTGGCGTCTGTTTGAGAGGCCTTCCGGGGCTGTGTCCTAACAGCCATTAATTACCATTTAGAGCAGTCCGTTTGGGAGCCACTAATGCTTTGTCCATGAGCTGTTGGAGCAGGTGCAGAGCCTCTCCAAGGCAGGGAATGAGTCATGCTTTGAGTGTCCCTGGGCGTCTTCACACACATGACCCGAGGGGGGCTCAGGGAGGCCCGAAGCAAGGAGGTGGGCCTCTGAGTGGGGAGGACGTGTCATTGTGAATAGGTGACACTTTCACGTGGTTCAGAAATGAAACAACATAAGAATATACATGTCAAGAGGTCCCCCTGCCACCCCCGTCCCCACCCTCCCCATCCCACCCTCAGGGAACCACTCACATTAGTTTCTTTTGTATCTTTTTAGAGTCTCTATGCACATGCATGCAAATACACTTATTTTTCATTTTCCCCTTTATTACATAAAATGTACCGCACTATAGACATTTTCGTAACTTGCTTTGTTCACATGATGATGTATCTTGGAGCTCTCAACATTGGTACATGGAGACAGCTTTCTCACTGTCTCGAAGTTGTTCTCATTTCATTGTGTGGACTCCACAACTGATCCTCCAGGGGTGGACATCAGGGCTCCTGCCAGTACCAATGATGCTTCAGTGAATGGCCTTGTAGAAATGTCGTTTTGTGCATGGGCAGGGCCGTGTGTAGGGCACATTCCCAGAATCGGGGTTGTCAGCTCAGATCCCTAGAGACATTGCCAGTTCTTTCCAGGCACCAAATGCCGGTCGTTCAGCCTCCCTGCAGCAGCAGGTCCGGGGTGGCCTTTGGCCTGAGCTGGTTTGGTCTGGGCCTGTAGTGAGGGATCAGTTCTTCAAAGCACCTGTGGCTTCTTTTGAAGTAGTTTTGCTTCCCGTGTGGTCTGGAGGAGGAGCAGAGTGAGGCTGTGGCGCATCTGCACTGTCTAGTGCTGGGTTTCTTCCCGAGCCTATGCAGAGGAAGAAGTGAGACAAACCAAGAGGACTTTTTCCCCTAGAGGAGGCAGGAATAAGGGGAATCTGAGAGCAGGGAGATGAATGAGGTGAGAGGAGGGAGGCAGAACGTGAGAGGATTTGGGCTGGAATGTGGTAGCCTTTTTGGAATAGTGAGCGCCTCTGCAGCAGAAAGACCAAGAGCGTTTGGGGATGTCTCAGGCCTGCATATCAGAGAACGTGTGTTTCAGCAGCTCTCTGAACATCTGGAAATCTACAAAGTGTAACTGACATTGTTTTAAAATACTCAGAAGGGGCAAGGATTTGAACAGGTAGCTCACAATGGAGGAAATGCAAATGGATGAGAAACTTTTGAAAAGAGATGCTTAGCTTCACTAGTGGTTGAGGATATTGCTAATGAAAGCAAGATGATACCATTTTCAGATGGGAAAACACAGGCTGATCCGATTCAGAGCCAACAGGGATGGAGGGAAGTGGACCATGCATGTTGTAGTGGGCTGGACATCACTGTAACTTTAGGGACACGATTCCACTTCTGGGAATTTGTCTAGTAGAAATGTAAGAACCAGTTATAAAGATACAAATACAGCAGTGTTTATAGAGCATTATTTGTAAAAGGAAAACCTGGGGCAAGCCTGGTGGCGTAGTGGTTAAGTTCCCACGCTCCGCTTTGGCGGCCTGGGGTTTGCGGGTTCGGATCCCGGGTGCGGACCTGCACACTGCTCATCAAGCCGTGCTGTGGCAGCATCCCGCATAAAAAGTAGAGGAAGATGGGCACGGATGTTAGCCCAGGGCCAATCTTTCTCACCAAAAAGAGGAAGATTGGCTACAGATGTTAACCAGGACTAGTCTTCCTCACAAAAAAAAAAAAAAAAGGAAAACCTGCTGGCAGTCTGAGTATTCATCAGGAAGGGGAGGGGTGAGTAAATGATGGTGTGCCTATAGTGTGGGACACTGTGCACTTATTGCAAAGAATGAGATACAGTCTCTGTGTACAGACGGAGAAGGATCACCATAAATTGGTGACAAAAGCATGTTACAGAGAAATAGGTATAGCATGATCTTATTTTTCCTTAAAATTACACACCCCCAAATCGATGCATATATGTTCGTACCAGAAGAAAGTATGAGAGATAAACTTCAAATTATTACAACATATGTGTATTATATATTATACAGTATGCTTCAGATTGTATATAGCATATATGTATCATTTGAACTGTTAAAACAAGCAAGCATACTTTTATCATTCAAATAACTGAAATGAAAAAGAAACCAGGGAGCTGGGAGTGAATTGTGAAATCACAAAATCACCAGAGATTACAAATTCCGGAAGATCAGGAGCTGCTGCTGAGTCCGATGAGCAGACTGATCTCCTGCCGCCCACAGCGTGCTCCGTGAGAGACCCTACCATCACAGATGGCAGATCGCAACTCCGATGCGTGAGACGAGCTGCTTCTCCTCAACCCACCTGCGAGTTCCGGGTTCAAACGCAGCCAGAATCTGGGCTTAGTGAGAATGAGCAGGTCCTGTGGAGGCCTGGGGGGTGACACAGCCACCATTGTGGGGGGAAACCACGTGGGAGGTTTGATGACCCAGGCTCCTTGGCTTCGCCTTCTGACCCTGCTCTGAGCAGGGCATGACCTCTCTGAGCCTCAGTTTCTCATCTGAACAACGGGGATCTTGGTGAGCCACTGCACGGACTGATGGGGATTACGTGAGCTGTCATGATCCCTCACCAGGTGTCAGCTCCCCTTCTGGCTGAGCCTAATATTGTGACTGCTGTCAGAGGCCGGCACTTAGAATTCATCTTACGCTGACAGAGGCTGCGCACTGGGCATCATGGAGGCTCAGCTGGAAACTGCTGTTCTAGACATGAGCAGACAAAATTATTTAGGACACAGTTTAAGTTCTTGTAACAAAGAGACCCTGAAATACAGTGGCTTAATGAGGTAGAAGTTTACTTTTCTCTCGTTGAACAGTCCAGAGGTAGGTAGGACTGGGAGGGTGGCTCTACCCTTCTCAACACGTGGCTTTTGTCTCTAAGTCCAAGGTGGTTGCTTCCGCTCCCGCCATCACATCCACTTCCAGCCAGTGGCAAGAGGAGAAAGAGCAGGTGTAGTGCACAGCTTGAAGTAGCACACATCACTTTTGCTGTCATCCCATCAGCTAGAACTGAGCCTTGTGATCACAGTGAGGGCTGAGAAACGTAGTCTGCAGCTCCCCGGCCATGTGCTCAGCCACAGTTCATGCATTCTGTTGTTGAGGCAAGAAGGGGAGATATTGGTAGACAAGCAGCAGGCTCTGTCACCCAGACCACCGGAAACCTGGGTGTTTTCTGTGGCCCATAAATCTATCAGTCTCCTAATTTGTTCCAGGCTCTGTGAAGTCACAGGGTAGACAAAAGAGACCATCCGTCTTGGGCCGGCCCCGTGGCTTAGCGGTTAACTGCGTGCTCTCCGCTGCCGGCGGCCCGGGTTCGGATCCTGGGTGCGCACCGAGGCACCACTCCTCCAGCCATGCTGAGGCCGCATCCCACATACAGCAACTAGAAGGATGTGCAGCTATGACAGACAACTATGTACTGGGGCTTTGGGGGAAAAATAAATAAATAAAATCTTTAAAAAAAAAAAAAAAGAGACCATCCGTCTTTCATGGAGCCCATAGCTAGATGGGGAAAAGACTTAAACAGTGCGATGGAGGATGAGGGGAAGATGTGATGAGAGAGCACATTAAGGGGTCTGTTGATTTAAGTTTCAAATGAGTGTATTGACAATGTTTGCAGTCACATAATAAAATTCAGACAATAAAGTATAAGGTGCCCTTGGGGAACCTAATTTAGAGTGTAGGCTGGCGAAGGCCTTTCTGAGGCCAACAAAGTCTTCAGGCTGAGACCTTCAGGGTGCGTCCATCCGTCAGGTCAGCTCCGTGGAGGCCGGTATGGGGTGCCCTCCAGGCTGGGGTAGGCAGGCTCGGTGAGGGCCTCCAGGCTGCTCACACTTTGCTCTTTCTCTCTCCCCTCGACTGCCGCAGGGAGCCTGTCAGTCGTGTGGTGTTCCTGGACCGAACCTGTGGGCCTGTCTCGAGGTAGGATGTCCTTGCAGCTCTTGGGGGTGTGGAGCTCGGTCTAGACTCGGGGCTGGGAACACCTGTCCCCAGCGGGCACTGCCGGAAACTTTGGGCAGGGAGCCAGGGCGTGAGTGTGAACTCAGGTGTGGCGCCCAAGCCACTAGAGTCAGTGAGTCCCTGGGCTGGCTGCCTTGGCAGCCATGGAAAATGACAAAAAATAAAGCAGGTTGGAGAAGACTCGGGACTAAATTGATCCCACCTGCATCAAAGGCAAAACTACACTCGAGTGTGTGCAAGGCCTAGTGGAGGCGTCTTGGCTCTGAGCCCTGACACTTCTTAGTGGCGGTCTGTCCCTGGGCCAGCCTGGGCCTCTGCTTCCTCACCTATAAAGCAGGGGCCACGACACTGACAACTGTCCCTGCCTCATGGGATTAGGGCAGAATTTGACGGGATGATGCCTGTGATGGGCTTGGCAGGGTGTGTGGGCCACAGACAGTATCCAGTAAAATCCAGTCGTGTTCTGATTATTATTGCTTGTTAAAAAGAGTAACAGTTAGGGGCCGGCCCTGTGGCTTAGAGGTTAAGTGCGCGCACTCCGCTACTGGCGGCCCGGGTTCGGATCCCGGGCACGCACCGACACACCGCTTGTCTGGCCATGCTGAGGCGGCGTCCCACATATAGCAACTAGAAGGATGTGCAACTATGACATACAACTATCTACTGGGGCTTTGGGGAGAAAAAGGGGGGGAAAAAAAGGAGGAGGATTGGCAATAGATGTTAGCTCAGGGCCGGTCTTCCTCAGCAAAAAAAAAAAAGTTGGCATGGATGTTAGCTCAGGGCTGATCTTCCTCACAAAAAAAAAATAAAAATAAGATTAACAGTTATATCAAAACATGACAGTTTTCTATGGGTGGTGGGATTATGGGTAATTTTCATTTTTTGTTTGTAGTTTTGTAGTATTTTCCAAATTTTCTACAAGTATGTATTTATTGCATTTCATAATCATACTAAAAATGACCGTGACTTAAAATTTCTTTAAAAACAAACAGAAGTAGAAACAAAAAATACAGCCTGAGGGGCAGACATTGCAGTTCAAGTCTGTCTTCGTATAAGACACAGGGGCCCCCAGGGGACTCTGGCCTTGCCCTTTTGGGCCTGTCACTCGTATAAAGTAGATTGCAAGACACTGTCTGGGCCCCAGGGGACGGCAAGAAGTGTGAGACGTGGTCCTGCCTCTGGGGAGCCCACAGACCCCAGAGAGACAGGTACGGAAACCTCGTGCAGGCAGTAGCGCGTCCTCCCCAGCCTGTGCGGTGCTGATGGCGGTGGAGAGCACACGCGCTCCTGTGGGGAAGCGGCCCGTCGCTGGGGGGCCGCGGCGGAGAGGCACTGAGCTGGCCTTGGAGGATGGGCAGATTTGGGAGGAAGAGCGCAAGGCCAAGGGCGGGGTCATCAGGGACCGGCAGGCCCTGCGGTGGGGCACCAGGTCAGCGTTGGGCCCCCACTGCCTCTGCTCGCCCAGTGTCCCCCATTAGAAAATGGCTGTGAGGCCCCCACAAAAGTGTGGGTCCCAATAACTGGCCCATCGGGAAGTGAGTTTTGGTGGAAAAGGGGTGAGTGGAGGGAGAGGATCTGGGCACCAAGTAGCCAGGCCTCAGCTAGTCTCCCTCAGAGGGCAGGGGCAGCTTTTATGGTGGCCATCCCTGCCCAACGCGAGCTTCAGGTGTGTAAACCCGTGTTACTGTGGGGTGGCAGGGCCTCAATTCCTTGTGGGTCCTGTTGGGTGGAGACGGGGGACACTGGCTTGCTGCGCTGGCACAGTCCTCTTGGCCAGCCCTAATCCACTCCCTTCCCTGTCTCCCCAGGTCGCCTGCCCCTACGTTGGCTGCGGAGAGTCCTTCGCTGACCACAGCACCATTCACGCGCAGGTGAGCATGGTGGCCGGGAGCATGGGCTCTGCAGTCAGCGCGGAGTTCAAACCCCAGCTCCAGCCGCCTCCCGGCTCCATTCCCCGCTCTGGGCCTCAGTGGCTATGTCTGTAAAATGGGAATAATCATAGCAGGGTTGCTGCAAAGAAGCAGTGGTAATGCAGGTGCAAGCATTTGGCACCTGTCCGTGTTTGGTAAATGGCAGCAGCCCTTGGCATTCCTGGCCAGAGGGTGAGCAGCTGCCGAGCCTCCAGGCCCCTGTCCTGATGGGGCCTTTTCCTGAGGCCTGGGAGCTGAGGCAGCCCCGATGCAGGCTCGGGGCACCTGTTGGGCCAGCATATGCTTGACCTTATTCTGGATCTTGCCCTCCAGGCAAAAAAGCACAACCTGACGGTGAACCTGACCACGTTCCGGGTGTGGTGTTACGCCTGCGAGAAGGAAGTGTTCCTGGAGCAGCGGCGGGCGGCCCACCCGCCAGGTCCCTCGCCCAGGTTCTCGGAGCAGGTAAGGGGCTGCTGCAGGGTCAGCTTATTTGTGGTGACACGTGTCGAGGGCAGGGAGGGCAGTGTGACCCGACCATCGGTGGAGCGTGGATTGGTGGGTCCCAGACGCTGTCTGTTCCTGGTCGGCGTTCTCAGGTGCCGTGAGGAGCTCCTGTCGGCAGAGGCTCGCTGAGCCCGGGTGCGTGCCAAGTCCCATGTGAGGCGATGAGGACGCAGAGGCGACTGGGGTAGGCCTCCCTCAGGGAGGCCACATGTAGGTGCAGGGCTTGGGTGAGCCCAGACCATGGGGCCACTGCAGACGCTTCCAGGCCTGTGCAGAGGCCCTGGCAACCCCAGATCTGAAATGTATCCCAGGGGAATCACGAGGAGTCGCTGCAGGAGCTTCTCTGTGGGAAACGCCTGGAACCCCCGGCCACGCGCCAAGCAGGGCGCTGTGCAGCCCCCAAGGTGGCAGCCCGGAGAGCACAGGCACTGAGGCCTGGCCTGGGGTTGTGGTCAGCAAAGCCATTGTGGGACTGGCCCGCTGGAGGAGGAGCTCGGGGAGGCCCGGACGTGCGTGTGCGCATTGTCCCTCTTCCACGTTTAGATGGTGCCTGTCACGGAAGAGGCGCGCCATCGGTGTTTATGGAGTACATTTGTGGGCGTGGTAGATGGTTATGATTCTTTACCAAAAAGGCGATAAAACAATATATAGAATAGCCTGTTTTGGGGCATGTGTGTGTATTAACAGTTTAAAATCTACAGAGATCCACGTAGACTATTAACAGTGGTTGTCTCAGGAAAGTTGGATTGCATGTTGTTATTCTTCATTTCTATTTTTTTCAAATGTATTATAAATAAAATAAATTATTATTATTCATTATCATAAATAAGGGCAAGGCCGCCAGTGCCATCTCTTTCCGCCGTGTCCTCTGCTTAGATGGGCTGACTCGGCGCAGGCTCTGGCTAGGGGGCTGGGCAGCTGGGCTTCTTCCTCCCCAGGAGGCACATGGGCCTCTGACCCCCACTCTCCTCTCCTCACTCCTGTTTTTTCCTGACTCTGAGTCTTTAACGCAGGACTCTCCGTTGCCCTCCCACCCTCTGAAAGCCGTCCCTATTGCTGTGGCCGACGAAGGAGAGTCCGAGTCAGAGGACGATGACCTAAAACCTCGAGGTAACAGCACCCAGAATGGGGGAGCTGCTGGGCCAGGTGGGGGGCCTCGGCTGTGGCTGGGAAGCTCTGCACACGCTGTCTCATGTGGGCAGGGAAGGGCAGTTGGACAGCCAACCGTATAGCGTGGTGGCTTCCCGTGGAGTGCCAGCTGCCAAGCCAAGTCCCGGAGGCCCGGCAGTCCATGTCCCCTGTCTCAGCCGTGTGACCCTGGGCAGGCCGCCCCTCTGCACCTGGGCCTCCTCACCTACACAGTGTGGACAGTGGGCTGGGCTGGGTGGAGGGCAAAGGAGTCTGTCTGTTTGATGCGCTCAGGTAACTGTAGCCGTTGTGAGCAGGAACCACATTAACTTAGTTGGCAGATTTCTGGGGTGCAACACCAGCCACCATGCTCTCCTCTGGCTGGGTCCTGCGGCTCGAGAGCCACAGCTTGTCTCCGAGTGTGGACTGTGAGATTCCTCACTGGGCAGGACGCTCACCTTCCCCTCCCCGCGTGCCTTGGTTTCCTAGGCCTTACGGGCATGAAGAACCTCGGGAACTCCTGCTACATGAACGCCGCCCTGCAGGCCCTGTCCAATTGGTAGGTGTCACTTCCTCTGGGAGATAGGGGACAGGGGCCGTGCCCGGGAGCCCTGGAAGTAGCAGCAGCAGCCCCCAAGCTGTGTTGCATATGTTGCCCACAGACACGTGTGTATGGATACACATCAGAACCCCTGAAAACACACATGCCCTTTGACCCAGCAATCCCTCCTATCGGAATTTATCCTAAGGAGACCACTAGAGATGCAGAGAAGGCTGTCTGTGCAAGGATGTTCATCATTCTGTTGTTTATTGGAAACAATTTAAACAATTTAAATGATTAGAGTTGCAAATTCATTGTAGGCCAGCCTTACAGTGAGTGCAGGAAAAAATGGTGCAAGACAATATTTATTTAAATGGGAAGGCATTCAGAATATGGTAAGGGGGAAAAAGGAGATTATAAAGCTTTGTGTGGTGCAATCTCATTTTGGGGGCAAAATATTCATTTCCATTTGGAATAGGCTGTCAACTCCATGAGGCCAGGGCATCTCCTATGCCTGGTACACAGATGTCCCAACTAGTAGAGATTCAGTGTATGTTTATGTGGAGGGAGGGAGGGGGTATGTCTGCATAGAAAAGGCTGGAAGGCTATGCCCGAGAATCTTCAGAGTAGCTGTCTTCACGTGGTAGGATTAAGGCTGACTATTATTGTTTGCTTACGTATATTTTCTAGTTTTTCTATGATGATTGTATCTTTCTTATGTAATGAGAAAGTTTAAAAACACGAGGAAAAGGAGAGTGGAGGAGATGCCTCCCAGCTCCAGAAGGTTCCCCCAGAATGGGCCGACGGGAGGAGCAGGTGCTGTTCCTCTCTCATTCACGCGGCAGCCGTCCCCTGACCCCACTGCCCTCAAGTGGGAAGCTCATCTGACCTGGGAGGGGAGAGGGGCAGTATTCGTTTCCCAGGGCCGCCATAACGAAGTACCACTGGGATGCTTAAACAACAGACGCTTATTCTCTCCCGGTTCTGGAAGATCAAGGTGTTGGCAGGGTTGCCTTCTTCTAAGGCCTCTCTCCTTGACTTGCAGACACCCACCTTCTCCCTGTGTTTTTATGTCATCTTCCCTCTGTGCAAATTTCCTCTTCTCGTAAGAACACCAGTCATATTGGCTTAGGGCCCACCCCCATGACCTCATTTTAACCTAATTACTTCTTTAAAGACCGTATCTGCAAATACAATCACATTCCGAGGTCTGGGGTTAGGGCTTCAACATATGAATTTGGGGGACATAATTCAGCCCATAACAGGTGGGATCCTGCTAGTCATCCACAGGCATTTCTGGCTCCAGGGGGCTCTGGTACGTCCCCCACACAAGCAGTCCCCCGCACAGGAAGCTTTTGCTTCCCCACCCAGCTCTTTCTAAACGGTGCCATGTGCTCTTTTTTTCCCTTCTGCTCTGGCTCACTTCCCCCGTCCCCCAGCCCTCCGCTGACCCAGTTCTTCCTGGAGTGTGGAGGCCTGGTGCGCACAGACAAGAAGCCAGCCCTGTGCAAAAGTTACCAGAAGCTGGTCTCTGAAGTCTGGCACAGGAAACGGTGAGCTGAGCCCCTGACCTCAGGCAGGTGTGTGGGGACGGGGATTTTCTCTCGGCCCCTTGATCGAGCACTTGCCAGATTTTACCCTGTGTGATGCTCACAGCAGCCCTGTGAGGAGTAGGTCAGAGTCAACCCTAGTCTACAAATTGGGGAAACTGAGGTTCAGAGAGATTTAAGCATCTTGCTCAAGGTCGCACGGCTTGTGAAAGGTGGGGCTAGACTTTGAACCTGGTGTTGATCCCAGCTGGCAGCCATGATGTGCACGTAGGAAAGAATCTCGTAAGTGGTGGCTGGCGCTCATGGGGCAGGGGCTTTACCTGTGTGAAATGAATTGAAAGACCGGAAGCTTGGATTAGACCTGTTTCTCCAGGAAAAGTCAAAATTAGGAATAATTTAAAATGAGTGCATAGAAATGTATTAAGTGTAAACTAGATTATAAAACAGTATGATGCAATATAATTCCAATTTTGTAAGAAGCCAAGTTTAAGTGTATACCGGTATGTATGTTGTGTATATGTCTGTATTTTCATGGAAAAATCTGGAAATCTTCGTGGTAGTTATGCCTGGGTGGTGATGTTAGTGGTAGCATTTCTTTGTTGGGCTTTTCTGAAATTTTAGATTTTTCAATAATGAATGTGTATTACTTTTGAAATTGGAAAAATCACACTAAGTATTTTAGAATGAAAACAATTTTAAAGTAGGCTTGTCATGGACCAGCAGGAAGTGGTGCCATCCCAGTGAAGAGCTCTCTGCCTGGTTGAGCCATGACCTGATATTTTTCTTCTTGACTGTGGGGATGTGCGAGCCTGCTGGGGCTCCCGGCCGGGTCAGCACCTCCCACCGTTGCAGTAAGCGCCTTGCTGAGTCTGGTCTGACCTCACTGGCCGGCTGCCAGCACTCGCGGGATTGAGTAGCTCAGAGCAGGCCGCCTGCACTAATGGGTTTGTCTTCCTACAGCCCAAGCTACGTGGTTCCCACCAGCCTGTCCCACGGGATCAAGTTGGTCAACCCGATGTTCCGCGGCTATGCCCAGCAGGTAGGCCGTCTGAGCTGCCCAGGGGACCCCCAGGGCAGTTACCTACCAAGCCTGGCTTTGAGGCCAAGACCAGCGTGGAAGGCAGCAACAGCAGCTTAGCGTTGCGAGGCGGGTCTCCAGATCAGACTGTCGTGTGTGAGGACCCTGGTGCCTCCCAGCAGCCTGCTGGTGTTCTCCCCACTGGACAGTGGGGAGACTGAGGCTCAGCGGGCCACGTCACTTGCCCAGCTCACACAGCTGGTACCCGCCGGAGGGAAATTTGACCTCAGGACGTCTGACTCCAGAGTCTGTGTGCCCCAGCACTACATTCAACACGGCACAGGGTTTCTGCTTCCCCAAACCACAGGCAGAATTTCCCTTTTATCAAACATTTGGTTACAAGTTTTTGTAAATCTAGAGAACCCCTTTGAAACCAATGATATCCTTCTATTGCATAAAATCACGGGACCAAGACAAAGCAGGACACAGCCACGTATGTGCCCCAGCCCTGAGCTGAGCTGACCACTCCTGTGGTCCAGGTCCTTGCCCCAGACTGCTGCACGGCCCGGGGTCTCACTGCTGGGCTCGAGGGTGGAGTGGAACCTGTCTGCATTGCCGTTTCTGCTGCCTGAATGTGGGGGCCAGGCCCAGAGCAGCAGTCACACGAGTGATGCCTTCAGCCCCATACTTCGGCCCCCACAGCCCTTCCTCCCTTCCCTTCCCGGGGCGAGGGCTGCTGGGCGTTTCTCTGCTCACACCCTCAGATGGAGGAACACCAGGCTCCGGACTGAGAAGCCAGCACTGCCTGAACTCCACCCTTTTTGAGAGTGATAATGTCCACTGATCAAAATTCACCATCCGCCATTTATTAGGTGGTCACTGCCTGCCATATAAGGACAGCCCTGTCTGTCCTCACAGAACCCTCTTGAAGTGGGCCCTGTCATCACCCCCATGGTGTAGGTAAGGAGATGAGGCTCAGAGAGATTCTACAACTTGCTCAGGTCACACAGCACATAGCAGCAGGGATGAGACTCAGGCCTAGCTGAGCCGTCCCTCGCCACAGTGCCACCCTCATGCTGTGCAGGGCGCCTTGCTGGCCCTCGGGCTCTCAGTGAGGACACCGTGGAGCAGGGCCACTCAGCTGCTGCCTAACATCCACTCAGACTCCAGAAGCATCCCTTTCTCTGGTTCTTGGACATAATGCAGGGGACGTTTCTGAGTCTGGGCCTCTATTAATGGCCAGAGGATGCTGTCATGCTTCCACAAAGCTTGAGATTTTAGCAACAAACATAGAGTACTTTTATTAAAAGAGCCAGAAAGAAAAGTGGATGGCGTATCGAGAGGCTGTTTTTTAAAAGAACCTCTCAGTGCCCCTGACACAGGACACACATCCCCTCCCGCCTGTCCCTACTGCCAGATAAGCTGGCAGGTGATTTCTCTGATCTGAGTTTGACACTTGGCCTTAGGAAGTCCACTCAGAGCCCTCCCTTCCCGCTGCCAGAACTGAGAGAAGGGGGCCCCTCTCCCCAGATCTGTGACGTGAGGCTGTGGGTGCTGCGCTGGGTCTGCCTGCTGCGTGACCTCGTGTGGGTCAGGAATGGGGCCGGGGGCTGCTTCTGACTTCTGGGTCAGGGACCGTGAGGGATGGAACTGGACTTTGAACCCAGTGGCCCAGCACGACACCAAGTGCCCCCAGCTGTCTGGGGCCAGCCGCCGTCACCATCTTCTGACCTTTTAAAGCATCTCCTATGTGTGCACCGCTCTCGGCTGGGCTCAGTGGGCAGGCTGCGCAGAGGCCTCGCTGCCCTGACTTCCTGCGGGGTTGGCGACCTAGTCATAGCGTAGTCGGAATAAAAGTTAGAATCAGAACAATAGTCAGAATGACTTGTGATTCGAGACCCAGCCAGCCTGAACTGGCAGCTAGGTCCAGGTCATGCCCAGGTCTGTGGGAAGGTGAGCTCCTGCCTTCAGAGTCCGTGTTCATGTCACAGGCCACAAGGGCAAGGGGAGGCGTGGGCCTGGGGGCTGGAGCAGGACTCAGGGGAGGCATGGCCCCGGGGGCTGGAGCAGGACTCAGGGGAGGCATGGCCCCGGGGGCTGGAGCAGGACTCGGGGAGCTGAGAGAACCAGAGGCAGTGACGAGGTGCAGGCAGCCTGGCTGCCAGGTGGCATCACTCCCTGCAGAACACAGCTGAGCCCTCACGTGCACACACACCTTCGGTGTCACTCTTGTCCTTCCACGGGGTCCCTCCCCTCGCCCCCAGGGTCCCCTCCTTCAGCAAGCAAGGTGACTGTAGTGGCTGACTATAGTGGTGCCTCTGCTCTCGCCCATGCTGAGTTGGAAGCTGGGCTCCAGGTGATGGAGAGCATGAGCTGGGGAGTCAGGTGGGGGGCTCGGCTTGGCCACTTTGCAGCTGCGTGACGTAGGAGGGGTCCCTCGGCCACTCTGAGCCTCAGTGTCCTCAGGAGAGCGGGCGTTAGGACAGAACTGCCCTGGAGGGTGCCGTGAGGGGTTGATCAGCGCATCTGCATAGGGCGCCAGCAAGGCCCCGCCGGCTGAAGCAGCTGCGTCCTCGTCAGCAGAGGCAGTGGGTGCTGTGGCAGGTTCCTCCCACCCCCAGGGACAGCCCCGGTGACGCAGCCCCTGGTTCCAGGACACCCAGGAGTTCCTGCGCTGCCTGATGGACCAGCTGCACGAGGAGCTCAAGGAGCCTGTGGTGGCGGCCACGGCGGCCCTGACGGAGGCTCGGGACTCGGACTCGAGCGACTCGGACGAGAAGCGGGAGGGCGATCGGAGCCCGTCAGAGGACGAGTTCCTGTCCTGCGACTCAAGCAGCGACCGGGGTGAGGGTGATGGGCAGGGGCGCGGTGGGGGCGGCTCGCAGGCCGAGACGGAGCTGCTGATCCCAGACGAGGCGGGCCGCGCCATCTCCGAGAAGGAGCGGAGGAAGGATCGCAAGTTCTCCTGGGGCCAGCAGCGCACCAACTCGGAGCAGGTGGACGAGGATGCTGACGTGGACACTGCCATGGCCGCCCTTGACCGCCAGCCCACAGAGGTTCAGCCACCGTCACCGCGGTCCACCAGCCCCTGCCGGACGCCAGGTACCAGACAGCTGCTTGGGGACCACAGCCCCATTTGTCCCGCACCTGCTGTGTGCCAAGCACCGACACGCAGTCCCCATCAGTTCTTCCCTCCGGGGGGATTCTACCGCTAGATCCAACTTCCGGGTGAAAAATCGATCGGCTAGATAACGTTTGCAGACTCACTCAGCTGACAAAGCTGGGGTGCCCGCCCTGGAGCCCCGAGCTGTCCACTGGAAACGTGGTGTGTGGACAGCATGGTCTGCGTGTCTGTTGGGGGCTGGGGTGGGTGCAGGACGGGGAGACACGGCAGGTTCAGGCCTTGGTCCTGTTAGGAGGGGCTGGCGGGCCTCTTCCTGACCAGGCCCTGGGGCTGGCTTGGCTGCCCCAGTCCAGCACGGTCCGCTCTCTGCCCCCAGAGCCGGATAACGAGGCCCACATGCGCAGCGCCTCTCGGCCCTGCAGCCCCGGCCACCACCACGAGGGCCACGCCAAGCTGGCCAGCAGCCCTCCTCGTGCAAGCCCGGTGAGGATGGGCCCGTCGTACGTGCTCAAGAAAGGTTCGGAGGACCGGTGGGGAGGGTGGGTCAGCAGGATGTCTCCATGTGGAGCCCAGGGCCGGGAGTGGACACCATGCCTGTGGCTGTCATTGCTGGGCACTCTCTGCCGGGGGCTGTCCTTCCGCAGCCTCCCTGAACCCTCCTAACGCCACTGGGATGTGAGTGGGGGAGGGGGGTCCCATCTTACAGATGATGACTGAGGCACCGGGTGGAGAAGTGCAGACCCAGTCACGTAACTCACACAGATTTGACCCCATGTCCTAGCCAAGCCAGCCCCAGCGCCCACCCCTTGCCCCAGACAGGCCTATGGGGCTGGGCCTAGCCCCGTGCTGTGACCCCAGCCCAGGTCCCGAGTGCCGGCAGCCGGAGGCGGAAGGAGCAGCGCTACCGCAGTGTCATCTCCGACATCTTCGACGGCTCCGTCCTCAGCCTCGTGCAGTGTCTCACCTGTGACCGGGTGGGTGCCCTGGTGGGGAGGGAGGCACTGGCCTGCAGTGGCCTCGGCGGTCCTCAGTCAGGTTGGACAGGGGGGCGGATTCTCCACGTGATGCCTCTGTCTCTCTCTAGGGAGGGTCTTGGGTGGGGGGCTTCTGTGTCCCAGGGCTGGGGAGCAGGCCCACTGCCCCACACCTGCCATCCTGCTTAGTCTGGGCAGAGCGGAACCCTGGAGACCGAGGCTGACCTTTGACCCCACAGGTGTCCACCACGGTGGAGACCTTCCAGGACCTGTCGCTGCCCATTCCTGGCAAAGAGGACCTGGCCAAGCTCCACTCAGCGATCTACCAGAACGTGCCGGCCAAGCCAGGTGCCTGCGGGGACAGCTACACCGCCCAGGGCTGGCTTGCCTTCATCGTGGAGTATATCCGCAGGTAGGCCCACCTTCCCGCTCGCTAGAGACTCAAGACCACCCTGGCCTGGCCTTCGTGGAACTCGCAGCCTGGGCAGCACAGACCTTAAACAGTGAAGTACAAGTGTTTGCAGGGATGAGGGCAGAGTCCGGAAGGAAGCTCGAGGCTGCAGGATGCACAGGAGTTGGCTAAGTGGGGTGGGGGTGTTCCTTGGCCACAGTGGGGTGGCCTGGACTGGAAGGCAGGTAACAACGGAGTGACCAAGCGGCAGCTGGAAAGGAGGACGGCAGCTGGAGGCCAGGCCTGGCCGGGAGAGGGCAGTGGGCGGCATTCCAAGGCCCCACTGCTTTACCTGCCTGATGTCAGGAACCCATACCGCTCATTGTCGGGCACCCTTCACAGATGAGGAAGGCGGGCTCAGGGAGAGGTCATGTCACCCTCCCAAGGTCACCGACCTGCTAGCTGGTGGTCCCAGATATCTGGCTTCAGCCCTCCGCCCATTCCACCCACGGGCCAAGCTGCCTCTCTGAGCCTGAGCAGACCTCTGTCTAAAGGCCCTGGCAGCACCCCACCACCCCCTTTCTGTCTCTGCAGGTTTGTGGTATCCTGTACCCCCAGCTGGTTTTGGGGGCCGGTCGTCACCCTGGAAGACTGCCTTGCTGCCTTCTTTGCTGCCGATGAGCTGAAGGGTGAGTGGGCCTGGCTGGCTGGGCCGGCTGCTGCTGGGTCAGCGTGCGGTTCTTGTTTCTTGTTTTGGGGACTTGCTGTCAGTAGCCCTCCCCTGCTGGCCGGGCTTGGCCGGGGACTGCGTGTTCTCTGAGCCTCACCACCTTGTAGCTCTTAGGTCTTCACCTATGTGTCTTTTTTTTACCAGTTTGGTGGACAAAAATGATATCATGCTTTAATTTTGCATTTCCTTGATTATTGATGAGGTTGAGCATTTTTTCGTTAAGTATATTAGCTGTTTGTATTTCCTATTTTGAAATTTCCCATTCCTGTCTTTTTCCTATTTTTTTGTTGAGTATTTGGCATCTTATTAACCCTTGGGAAAACTCTAATTTTTAATTGTAGTAAAATATACATAACGTGAAATTTACCATGTTAACCATTGTTTTTTTTTTTTTTTT